GACCACTCCCACCCGCCATCCAGCCACTTTGCATCAAGGCTGCGGGGAGCCCACAGGATGTCTTGGTGGGAATCATGAAGGCGGGGGCAGGCTGCGGGCAGGCGGGCACTGGGGTGGGAGGGCGGGCAGGCTGCCTCCAGGCTCTCCAGCCTCTCGGGAGGGCCCTTGTGCAGGCTGCACCCATCGGTGGCAGGTAACTCAAGATAGGAAGGCATTCTTCCACTTCAAGGCCTGGCGCGTTCTTAGGGGGTCAAAGTTGGGCAAAGGATCCGCTCGCGAGAGGGAGATGCTCACCAGTGCCCTGGCCTCCCTCCGCCGCCCTGGGAGAGGTGTGGGTGCTCCTGAGGAGGGCTGTCCTCCAGCTGCCTCCACACCCAGGGCGAGTTTCAGCGTCTTGGAGGGAGAGGGAATTGTGATTAAAAAAATGATTCTCACTCTTTCTCCAAACAACCTCCCCCCACCAAGACCCACGAAGGCCCCAAGCCAATCACTGAGCAAACTCTTGGCTGTGGGACCCCACACCTTGAGAGGGGCCCGCTCCACTTGCAGGCGGACCATGGAAGCTGGCATCCAGCGCAACCCCGTGGCGACACCCAGGTGATACTCTGGATTCACGGGTGGTACCTGCCCCCCACCCCTTTCAGAAGGGTGCACCGAGGCACAGAGCTGGAGTGTGAACCCACCTGCCTCCTCAGTCCATGTTCTCATGTTCTCTCAGCCCAGTCTGGGGCGGGTCTTGACAGGAGACTTGGGAAAGGCAGGTGAGCGTGGTGGCTGGCTGCTGGTGTCCGCCATGGGCAGGGCAGGGGCGCCTGGCCCTGCTGTGGGGTCCTGTGGCCACCGCCTCCAGTCCACACGCAGAGTGGGGCAGACGCCTGCCAGTAGCGACACTGGGAATGGGCCCAGCGGCCTCATGGACCGGCCAGCGAGGGAGACCGCACCTCCCAGCCACGCCTCTGCCCGGTGAGTCCCAAGGACTCCAAGCGCGCCTCGCAGGGGCCTCCACCAATAAGCCTGGAGGCTCAGACTCTCACTCTGCTCCCTGGAGGGACATGTAGCCGGGCCCCACCTCTCCTCAAGTGATAGATGCCACCAGGCTTCACGGCCCTGGATGCCAGGCCAGCCCCTTGCTCAGCCCCAGCCTAAGTCTGTCCACCAGGGCAGGCTGGTCACCACCCCTGGGTCTTGGCCCTGATGATCCGATGCCCTTTTCTACCCTAACTTCAACCCAGGGCCCAGTTTAAGGCCACACTCTCCTCTCCCACACTTGTACCTTTGTCCACACCTACCAGCCCCTCCCCCTCCCCGCCCCATCCTCATGCTGGTTGGATCAGAACCCACAGCTCCCCTCTCCCCCTCTGTCCTCTCCAAGCCTCACCTGTTAGCTCTAAAAAGGCTTCTCACCCCAGGAGGATCCCTGTGAAGTCCACCCAGAGGGCCCATTAATGTCTTGACCACTAGAAGCTCAGGGACTGCAGCAGCCTCAGCCAGGGGCCACCCCCTGGGGAGCACAGGATGGGCGGGTACAGATACTGGTTGACCAGCAGGACCCCTTCGACAGCCCCCCCTATGACTGCGCAGCTGCCGTCAGGCTGGGTTGCTGACTTCCTGGTGTGTCGTTCTTGGAGCTGAATGCTCTGCTCCACGACCCCCGGGGGAGAATTGGTAGGCCCGCTACAGATGGGGAAACTGAGGCCCTGAGCATTTGGTGAGTGGCTGAGGTCACAGAGCTGGTGAGGGAGCCAGGACTTGAGCACAGGCAGCCCTTATGTCAGTGCTCCAGCCTCTTCCACAGGCCCTGGGGGCCCCCCGGGCTCCCTGCATGGCACCCCCACGTCAACCGCGGTGACAACCCCATGACGGCTGAGGGATGGCTGGGATGAGTCAAGGCTCCAAGGTGAAGGGCTGCTGGAAAGAAGCCCAGGGTCCTACGCCTGTGCTTTGGGGGTGAGGCATGGCCTGACGGAACAGAGGAGGGTGCCCCAATACTTGCGTTCGGACTCACACAATGTAATACCACATCCACTCCACGGCCACTCAGACCCATGGACTCGCCAGGCAAGCCTGACTCCTACCTGGGAGGGCCTCACGGTCTGTAGTAGGGGCCTGGCCAGTGGCCAGCACAGCCATGCTCCGGAGCCTGCCTCCGGGACAAAGCCCTCAGGACGCGGCCAGTCTCAATGCAGTGCAGGCCTTGATGCTGCACACATTCCTCTAGGCAGGGGAGGTCCCCCCAACCCCCCTTATTCCACATGGAATTGCTACTGATGGCCATCATCCCAAGAATGGGGTGGGGGCAAGGAATGGAGGCAGTGACACTGACTCCCAGGCCTGGTCAGTGCACCCCTCCATCCACGCCCAACACCAGAGGGTCAGTAGAGGGAGATGGGACCCAGGTTAAAGCTGCCACCTTGAATCCTGACTCCACAGGAGAGCCATGGGGGCTTCAGGGCCCTGTGTGTGTGGGCTCACTGGCTCCCCACGCTTTCCCCGGTGGTGCCATTAATACTCTACCAACACTTTCTCAGTGAAATGACAAGGGAACGCTGACACTCCTTGACTCGCTCTTGAAAAATGTCATTCAACAGCCTTGGATTTTTCCCAGCCCAGAGAAGCATGTTAAATATCGCTCTTCCCAACCCCCCTCACTTTACAGAGAAAACTGAGGCCTGGAGAGAGAATGACTAAGGCCCACAGACAGCCGCTTTGGGCCCAGATACCCCATCGCATGAGCACACCCACTTCCAGACTGGCACCCGAGACAAGGTGGACAGAGGTGGGGCACGGAGCCAAGGACATGTGCAGCAGGCACACCGTGGCTCACCGACGCCCACCCCTCTGCGCCCCTACGTCACTGACCCTGGCCTGGAAGACTGCCCCCCCACCATGTGGTCTCCAATAGACCAATGGCCTGGAAGACCCCCCACCACCACCACACATGGTCTCCAATAGACCAATGGGGGCTTCCCAAAGCCTGGGATCAGGTGTGAGCTGAGGCTTTTATCAAACAGCTGTGGCTCCTCACCCCAGGAGCCTGCAAAGTGCCTGTACCTGTGATGCCCCTTCATTCAGAAACTGCTGGGGCTCATTATCCCAGGGTTAATGAGGGTGGGGGTGGGGGGGTGGTCAGCCTGGGTGCATGGAAAGGTTTATCCAGAGTCAGGCCAGTGTTAGGTGCTCTCCAAAAGGGGAGGGCCCTGGAGGCGAGCGCTGGGCTCCACCCACACCCTGTCCCCAGGGACAGACAGCACAGAGACCAGGTCTCCAGGGCAGGTGGCAAGGTTCTGGGGTGCATCAGATCAGGGGCGGGTGCCCATGGAAAACAGCAAGAAGGTGTGGGTGAAGGATTTGTCCTCTCTTTATTGGGGGTGCATCATTCCCAGGGACTCCTGCACTGGGCCTGTGTGCACACAGGAGCTCTGTACACACCTGCGTCCCCGGCCAGAGCGCTAGTGCCATCAAGTTCTGTCCAGAGGGTACTCAAGAGACCAGTTCCAGCAGATGGGTGGCACCTGAGGCTGCGGCCCCACCCTGGTGGGAGCCAGCTGTGAGGCCCAGGGTGCAGCTGACAGGGTTGGGGCGCAGGGGCTGGCTGTGAGAGGAGCTCGAGTGGACAGTGGCCTCCACCCCCAGCCCCAGGCAGGTGGTCCTCGGGCTCCTGAAGACCCCGGGGTCCACGGCCCTCCTGGCTCTTCCCATGCCGCGCCCTCGCCTGTCACAGGACGGCCCTCCTGTCCAGGTGGTCCCCGCGCCCACTCCGCTGGTGCCTCACTTCCAGGTGCTTCTTCTGGACCTTCTCGAAGTGCTGCAGTAGTTCCGCATAGTCGATGCTGGAGGTGTCTGTCTTCTGCGACCTGGGGGCGGCCGCCTGACTGTCTCTGCGGACAGGAAGCTGGTCAGTGGACCGGCACAGAGGGGTGCAGGGGCTGCACTGGGCATGGGAGCACAGGGGTGCAGGGGGTCAGGGCTGGCAGAGCTCAACCTCAGGGAGCCTCTGCCTGGAGCCCGGCAGTCCTTCCCCAACAGTGAGCCCCAAAGGGCCCGGAGCATCCCTCTACCCCCCACAGTTGGTGGGACTGGTCACCACAGCTGCTTGGATAAGGTTCAGTCTGTGGGCTGCCACGGTGCATTTCCTGTGAATCAAAGGGTCCGGTCATGCTTCAGGAGAGGGGCTGAGTGGGCCGGAGTGGGGTCTGGGCTCGGGGACCACACCTGCTGGGGGCAAGTCCCTCTACCTGGCCTGGGCCAGACAACCTCTCTCGTGGCCTCACGACTGCAGAGGACACTGAGCTTGGGTCAGGGGCAAGGTGCTGACAGGCCCGTGCCTGCTTCCATCTGAGGGAAAGGCCCATGCACGGTGCCAGGACCCCGAGTGGCTCCGACTGCCTGGGGGGGAATTCTAGACACAGGGCATCTGACGCGAGCCGGGCGCCCCATTCAGCGTAAATCTTCTCAGTGGCTCTGCTGGTTTCCATGGCGACCTGACAAATGAAATTTTCCATCTCCGATGCCAAATGCCTGTGGATGAGGCAAAGCCTCCAAAGGTTACCAAATAGGAGGTTCAGGGTGGGAGCCGAAGCCTTCCTGCCCGGAGGCTGCCCCAGAGGCCTCGGGAGGTGGGCCTGGGGCCTGTTCTCCTAGACCCAGGAATGGGCGGGTCCCAGCAATGCCAGGAGCTCTCAGGGGCCCAGGCTGGAGCCTGTGCCCAGCAGGGGGTGGCTGTCCAGGCTGGGACTGGACCCTGCCCACTCCCGCTACCTGCTGCCTGGGTCCTGTCTCTGAGCCTGGGCAGGACCCCTGCCTGCAGCTCCTCTGCAAGGGCCTCTGTGCCGGTGACTGGTGTGGCTTTCGTCGTTAAGTCCTGGTTGTATTACACTCAACCCTGACGGTACAGAGGAGCGGTCGCTACAACCACCACTTGTAGACATGCCCTGAGCCTCCAGCCTGGGGCTTGGCTGTGGAAATACACCCCAAAGACACAGGACTGTGCTCACAGTGACAGAGGGTTGCAGGGCAAGGCAAGGGAGATGCTGGGCCATACTCTTACACACCCACACACACCCACTTTCCAGGCCCCTCAGGCCTGGCCTCACGGGTGGCAGATGCAGGCGCCCCGGGAGCAGGCAGGGCCCGCCGCACTCACTCAGTCTGCAGCAGCTCGGGGTTGGGCACACACTGGAGCCGGTGGGACAGCAGCTGGAAGGCGCTGCTCTGG